ATTATTTTATTTAGCTTTTTTGTGCAAGATTCAGATCATGCAAGCAGCATGTGATCTAATTTCCTTACACGTGTTGTTTTTACTATGGCTATCAAATTTTATGGTATATGATAAAACAAAGTCATAGCTCATGTTGAACTGTAAAATCATGACATTATCATTCTTCGTTCAATTCATCATCGAAGGCTCTAACCTCCATAAAAAAGTAATTTTTTTGTCAATTTTGCTAAATGGCCAAAACCTGACTGTGGGCTCGCTTCAAAACTTGCACTCTTGAAGGAGATTATTAGGTATATATTCTCTTTTTGTCTTCAAAATAAATGTGATCGACAACATTCAATAGAAAACTTCTGATGAGGATCTTGAAAACGGGGCCATTTCGTCGAATCCATCTTAGAGATTATCACCAGCAACGGAATGAACTGGTCCAATGGACTTGAGACGGCAGTAAGAATGTCGCAACTTTTGATTTCACCGATGTGGGGGGGATTTGTTTTATTTTATTTTTATGCTTGTAGTATATATAAACAAAAGGGAAAAGTTAGAACGTCGAAGTCGTGAGCACCATAATTTATAATTTCTTGTGTGCTATTTTTTTTTTTTTTTGTCACAATTGAAATTTCATGCTTCATACTTTTTATTTTCTATGTACTTTGTTCAGAAGTTTTACTCTGAGGAGAAGTTGTACAGAGTAAAATGTCTATTTACTAACATAATGCTATTATCAAAAGAGATTGCAACTCGAATTTAATTTGGACGAAATTCAAAGAATAAAGTGATATTAAGTATAAATAAACACTATAGGTAAAAAGAAGAGGTTAATGTGCATTTTCACATGCCTCACACGTGACTTTTCCATCCAAACTAACGGCAATTTCAATCGGTGGACGAAAATTGTCAAAAAACTAGTTATTTGAGGACCAATTTCGTGCTAGAAAAAATTTATCGACCAAAATCGAAAATGGTGTATAATATAGGGACGAGAGTTGTAATTATTGTTGGCCGAAAACCTACACGCAAGTGCACGTATCGTACAAGTAATATAGTGGACAATTAAGTCCGGATATCGAACCCACAGGGAATATTTAATTACTTAATCCTAGACGCTAAATCCTAGCAATTATTATCAAGCCCACCCTACACAGTCGAAAGATGATTAATAAACTAAACTAAACTAAAGCAATTAAATAGATAAAAACAAGAAAGCAATTAAAACGAAGATTTAATCAATGAAAACAAGCCTAGGATTTTATTCTTCCCCCTATGTGATTATTATTCCCCCAATTCCTTCAAGTATGCAATCAATTAACCCGAATTATTAACCTGAGACCCTAAAATAATCATAACCCGCTTCCGCGTGTATTACGATTCTAATACTCTAGATTCAATTACTATATTCCTATGCAATTAATTCTAGAACACAGCATTAAGCACAAATCTCAATAATGGCTACCTAAGAGATTAACTATATTCCTATGTTAATACCACAAAGGCTCTTCTACCACAGTTCTAATTATTAACCCGATCTTCCGATTCATGAGATTAACAATAACATAAAAGCACATAAGGTGATCAAATTCATGCACTTAATAAAACAAGTAGAAGAAATAATCCGGAATTAAAACTTGCATAAAATCATAGAAAAGGGTTCATAAATCCCACATAGGGTTCCAAATAAAATCCCAGAAATAAGTAATTTAGCTACTCATGATTAAAGGAAAAACGCAAATAAAATAAATCATAGACGATAAATCTATGCTCGGAGTCTTCGAATTCTTCGTCTTCGTTATTGCTTTTCTTGCTCTTGATATTGCGTAAAAAAAAAGGATCTTCAATTGTGTGCTTGGATTGGTCTTAAATAGGGTGAAGAACTTGGGGAAGAAGGCAGTTTCCTTGTGCGATTTAAATACTTTCACTGCGCCAACACGTCAACCCGGACGGCCGTGCGAGAATAGGCTTTAAAATCCGGACGGCCGTCCGGTTCTTAATTCTCCAGAATTTCTATTTTTTCACTTTTGGCCCACTTTTTCTCCGAATTTGCAGTTTTGACCCCATACTTTTCCAATTCTTCAATTTGTACCTAAAATACAGTAAATCAACTTTTTAAGCACTAATTATCATTAAAACACACCAAAAGCTCAAATAAAAAGATACGATAAAGTGTAAAAATATACACTTAACAATTATCCCCTTCCAACCCCTAATCCTATTAATCTTTTCTCTTTTTTCCCGTCTCACCCATCTTCTCTCTTGTCCTTTTTTTTCTATTTTTTCTCTTTTTCCTTTTTTCGTCCAAATCCTTCTTCTTTCTCACATAAGCAAGTGGTCGGACAAAGAATTGTCGGCGCCCCATATCTTCTATGCCCTCATGGCGGCGCTCCACGAGGCCTGAATAACCACGATGCTGCTGTCGTGAGCAACAACAGCCCCTTCTCGCCATGAGAGTCGATCTATTATTGTCGTCCGAGAAGAATGAGATCAGTCTCCATGCGGGTGGAAATTAGACGGTGTTTTTGTGGTGACGATGGTGGGGATGGTGATGGTGTGGTGTGACGACGGTATGGTGACAATGGAAAGACATATCTAGAGTTTTTGGTTAGATCTGGCGGGGCGGAGAAAGTCGCGCATGCTAGACCCCTAATCGACTATGTTATGTTTTAATCGACTATGCTCGTAGTCGATTAAGGTTTAATCGATTATGATCAGTAGTCGATTAAAGTTAATCATTACATTTTTTAATTCATTTTTGAACTTTTGGTTATTGATTCCCGATTTTGCCACGTGTAGTCGGACTTGGAGCATTTGGGTAATGTGTTTTTGTTCTGTCATTTTAAATCCATCAGCCAATTTCTATAAATCAATACAATTTTTGTATATCTTTTGTTTTGTAAAAAATAGTTGATTTTCATTTTCTTTTTTGTAGTTGTTTTTGTTATTTGTTTCAGTTGGTTATTGTTTGGATTCTTTTGTTGAATCGTGTTGGTTTTGATTGAATATATTACGGTTGTTGTTATTGTTGTTACTTTTAGTAATTAATTTCATTATTCAACCACATTGTTAGTTGTTAGTTTGTTAATCAACTATTCCCTTAGTCGATTGATTCCTGACAGAGAAAAAGTATTACAAAAAATTTAAAAAAAAATAATAATAATAAACAGTTATTTTTTTTAAATTAAAAAAGATATTAAAAATTTAAAAATTAAAGACAAAATTAATTAAAAAAAGAAGGGGGGGGGGGGGGGGGGGCAAAACTGGGGATGTGTGTAGTTGGAAAAACGATAGTGGATTATTAAGGAACGGAAAGGAGCCTGGGTTAACATCAAAGAGTGAAATATGGGTTGGACATCTCCCTATTAATGAATTTTTTTGGAGGTTCTCAAAGTGCCCCATTTAATAAAGGCAAAAATCAGCCCTTTGTAATTTGGAATTATCGAAAACATCCTCATGTTCAATAAATCAACAAGGACCCTCCTATGAAAATCAGTCAAATCAAATAAGGTCATTGACAGCTTATCGTAGACACCGCGCGCAGAGTGGGCTACCGGGGGTGACTTTTTGACCCGAAAGACCAAAATACCCTTTAAATTATTTTAAAAAATTACATATTCAACCCAAAATGAAGTTTTTGAAATTGTCAATTCAATTTTTCACATTTTCAGAAACACCCTTTCTCTAAGTTAACTCAAAATTGGAACATCATTCTCAATTTTTTATTCAATCCTTAAAACACCATCTTCTCCTCATCGCATAATGTCTATCTTCACCTCATCGAAAAATGTCAATCTCGTTTTCTATTCCCAAAACGGCTGGGGTCACCTCCGACCAAAACCCAAATTCCTCAACCAGCCACGAAAACCCTTAGTTTCTTTAGTGAAATTCTAAAAGAACCCATGGCAGCGAGGCGGCGTTGGAGTTTGGAAGCAGGCATGAAGAAGGAGATATGGTCCAGCCAATTTTTTTCTCTTGTTCAAAGCTTGGCAGCACGAAGTAGATCTAGGTGGGTGGCTCCGACGTATGCGACGGTGAATCTCTGTTGAGGTGGTAGCATAGTCCCACATCGGTTTAATATGGGAAATATAACTTCTTTATAAGGAGGGGATAACAACTCTATTTATGGGACTTTTTGGAAAAAACCCAAGAGCAAAACCAATTGGGTTTGGCCCAGATTAGACAATATCATACATATGTAGAGCTTGTGGTATCCCGGTGGGCCCCTAACAATTTTGGCGGTGAATCTCCAATATGAGGTCTTTAACAGAGAGGTGTTGGGTTTGGGTTTAGAGACGGGATGGTGGTGGATGGGTTTGATTTGACGGTGAAGATGATGAACATGGGGGTTCGGGTGGGTGGCTTTGGTTTGACGGGAACGATGAAAGAATAATGGATATGTTTGGTGAGCTTTTGGGCTTCCATTTCCATTTTATTCTGGAGAAAAGATGTTTTGGGAGAAGAATTTGAAAATAAAAAAAATAAAAGTTTGTTTGTGTTTTGAGATGAGACAATTTGTACTGTAGCAAGTTAAATCATGTTTAAAATGTGTTGGAGAAAGAAATTTAGAGAAAAGAATTTGAAGAATAAAGTAATTTTAGTTTGTATTTTAAGATAATTTTCACTGTAACAGTCAAATCATATATGTTAGATAGAGAAATATTTGAATTATTTTTTGGAGAAGTTTTTGAAAATGTTTGAAAAGATAATTTTATTGTGGGAAAATAATGAAAAGAATTTCAAAACCTAAACAAGCATAGCTTATTTTCTCTCTTTCTCTTTTTTTTTTTTTTTTTTACTTTTTTATTATTTTTTGGGTTGGGATATTCTTGCATTATTTTTAACTATAGATAATTTTTTCATTTCAACAGTAAAATATCAAATAAGGGGCAATGTGCTTTTTAAAAAATAACATTGGGTGATTCTTGCTATCAATACAATGGTTTTTGTGGCCATTCAAAATTACACAGGGATTTGTACAAATAACTCAAGTAATAAAACATCTTGAGGAATATAAAAGAAAAAACATAAAATAATATATAGAGAAAATCACCACGCACGTGCAACGCATGTGCACCATGCCAGTATATACAAATATACAAATCTGGTGGATATATATGGTGGTTCTCTTAATACCTAGAATTCACTACTTATCGAAATATTAAAAATAACTAAAGGTGTTGAGTTCTAATTGCCACCATTTAGACCAAAATAATTACAAAAATCCATATCTACATTACATGAAACTATTGAACTCTGGAGATAAACATGAAACTAAAACTACTGAGATCATTAAGTCAAATAACCCAAGCTTGAATGGCCTTGCCAGCTTTTCCTAGGTTGACGTTATTAATTGCGATGAGATGATAAAGGAAAAAAAGGAATAAAAAGATTTAAAGATGGAGAAAACCAATCAAGAAAGCAAAACAAATACCAAACATAGCCTACTACATAATTCCAAAAAAGCAAAAAGACCGAGGAAGTAAGCAAAATCGACGGCAACTAACTTTGTTCGAAACAAATTTAAAAGGAGTTTTTGGCCTGAAAGAGAAACTAATAAGCTTTTCAATCAATGGAGAATGATAGAAGTCTTGCTTACTGTTTCGGTTCTTGCATACAGTATACAATGTATTCTATCCTCATCATCAAATCTAATGTTACGCCTCAGATAATTAGCCCACCTCAATCTGCAGCCCCTCCATGTATTTTCAGACCTGATATATATGACCAACTCAATAAATGAGTAATAACATAACACAAGGTACATATACATATACACACCCATATTAATCTAGTCCACTTCTCATTCTATTAATGTAAGCTTGTAGCACAGATTTTATTAATGTCAATCGAGTAATATTTGTAAATTCTATGACAAAGCTAATTCACCTCTATATTCTAACAAAAAACTTACTTCCTCAAATATGAGCACACTTCAACATAGTTTTCCATAATAAAGAAAATGACATTAAAAGCCGTACAAAGAAATGATTAAATGCCAATATATACCTGTGGCCGTAGTATTTTGTTGTTGCTCTATGTATTTCAGAGCTTTAACTTTTGACCGGAATGCTCTTGAAACACCCGGTGCGTAGTATCTCTGCATAAAAAAACAAAACATCAATTCTTCATTTACTTTCCATGTTGCACATCAATTGATGATTTATCGTTGGTTAGCCATTTAGTTTTTGGTACCCCTCTTAGTTTGGAAAGAAATTAATTCCTTTCAATGTAACTCATTACAGTAGTAGCTATACCTACTAAAACAAGGAGACGTGGAAAAAATAAAACAAGACAACAACGAAAAGTGAAGGCTAAGAGTATATATATACATATAACAATTAATATACCCTAAATTACCTTGTCTTCGTATCCGGGAAATTTTCCAGTCAACGGCCTTTTGTTTACTCGCTTCACCCATCCTTCGGGCATCCACGAGTCGTCATCCACTTCTGTTTTCTTGGTTGGCTTCTGCACAAAATATTAGATAAAAATTAATACTTCAAAAAGTGAAGCCTCCATTCACAGTTGACAGGTCATTGTTTCCATGTCCAAATCTCTAATTCTATTCAATCGCCGCAAGCAAGAATTAATTAATTTAATACAACCTAGACAGCAGATATATACGCGATAAAATCACCCTTGCATGCACGGATAAAATAGCTACAAGAGAAGGCATACCTTTGTTGCACCACCTAATTTTGCTTTTTTCTGCTTTGAAGGTCCACAAGGCATCGCAGAACCTTCTCCGACTCGTTCTCGCTCCTAAATAAGTTGAAAGTACAAAAGTTGATTAAAATTTTGCAAAACCATATATCAAAATCTATGGTAAAAGCATGATAAAGTCCATGATGCAACAAATAAATAACAAGATTCCACAATATATATATATATATATATATATATGTGTGTATATATATACATATACATATACATATACATACATATATATACATATAGATATACATATATATACATACATATATACATATATACATATATATACACATATATATACATATATGTGTGTGTGTGTGTGTATATATATAGATAGATATATCATTGGGTTCTGAGGCTTGGACCTAGCTCATCTACTTTACCTCGAGAGGTTGATTTGCTGCGGAAATTCGCAAAACGAGCGCGGGTTGTTGAAGCAGCTGAGGCTCTATGAAGGATGAAGGTGCTACTTCAAATGGAGCTATAATTACTTCATATGGCCAGAAGAGTGATTTAATATCATCTTCTTCTTCTCCAAAAGGTGGCTCTGCCGATGGTTGTCCTTCAACCTACAATCAGTCAAGAACGTACACACGGTGAGCGTATTGCATATAAATCAAAAGCAAGGAAAAAAGCAAACAAAATCATGAGAATAAAGGCAGCATAAGTTGGTTTTCCAATTAGAGTAAACTAAGTTAAAAAAAATCTTCTCTAGCAAGATTAATACCCAACT